TGACAAATGAAATCAGTCTGCATTTAGTGACAGCCAGAACGGTGCGTGCCTATGTGGGTCATGTTTGGTTAGTTTGACTGTAAAATGTTGGGTTTTCAACGCTTTAGTAACAGCGATTTTGCTCCAGTTTTGTGAAACCTGGTCTTTATGAGATGTTAAGCAACTTTCTTTATTCAATCATTATTGTCTTGAAGGATCACTTACATCCAGTGGCAACACTATGTTAGTGATGTTAAGATTCGGCAGTGACTAATTCAGTCATTGTCACCAACTTGAAACAATGACTTCGGTGTCTTGGAGATTTTTCACGAATATATTTTAAAAGGCACAACTACTATAATACTTTGAATTTGTTTAACTCGAACTAGTAGTTAGAAACTGAAAGCAGTTGGAGCATTTTTACAAGTCTATTAATTTTACATATTTCTAAAGCACAAAGGTTAATGTGTATGGCAGGATTTTTTTGCTCCTTTCTCAAAAACTATTAAGGTAAAACAACAATCAACAAGCTTCTATTTTTCGGAAATAAGATATCAAATCATCTAATATGCGTACATTGTTCTTCTTCTTCATTCATATTTAGTTAGGAAAAATAATACTAGCGAGAGAGAAGCAGAGAAGATAGAAAGAAGAAACAAAGCAAACAAATAAACAGGAAAAAATGTCATGAGATAAATTAGACAAACAAAATAAAGGTACTGCGGAAAAATGGGGCTATAAAAAACAAATAAATAAGACAGATAGATACATAAATCGTATTAAAATATCATCGTTATCGTGGAAATGTAATATTCGAAGACAACACATTGAGAAATGTTAAGCTAGACTATAAATGAGTATTTGTTATCATGAAAGATGTGAGAACAAAAAACACCTTGAGTTCTTATAGCTCAAATATAAGCATATTGTCAGTAATTAAGCAAAAGATAGTAATAATGTACATACGCTCAAATAGTACAGAGAATAATAACAGCTTTGTGCTTTTATGGTATACCTATATAACTGTATTTTCGATCTATTGTATTATCAAAACCTAGTCTTTTACTATAAATACATGCCCGGTAAGAAATAGTTATCGATTCCAGACAGTGGAATATGGTGAATGAATTAAAGTTAGATATGAACACTAGTGTATGCCAGCTGAGAGGTCTAGAGGTTAAGCGTCATCGCGAGATAAAAATGTCCTGAGTTTAATTTCCGGTAGAGTCGTGGATGAGTACTGCTAAGTGGTCTCATGGTAGATCGAAACAGCTGTCAAGTTCTTCCTAGTTTTAACTACTTGCCTAGCTAAGATCAGTCCATGATGTAAACTAAAAAAACCCAACACTCTACGATCCCCAATGAATATAACGATATATTTCATGACATCAGTGATAACTCTTTATTTCTTCATGCATAATATATATTATTCTTGAAAAGGTAAATAAACATACTTATGAATAAGGTAAAAACAAGTAAATAATAACATATAACAAAACAAAATTAATTGCAACTTATAATAACATGAATGATATAAAATTATCATTTGTTTTCGTGAACATAAACAACTTATATAGGAAATATAAAACATTCGTAATTAGGACTGCTGTTTATCAACCTTCTTATTGTTAGTGAACATAAATAACTGGATAATTTTGCCGTGCAGTTCAATCAATTCGCATGTATCGTTAAGGTATGAAAAATAAGCAGAATCTGGTACTGTCTCTTGGTGTTTTTCTTTTCTCCAAAGAAGAGATAGAAATATTTCGATAAAGAGAGCCTTCCATCTGAACTGGGAATCGATCTCAAACTACGGCATTTAAAACTATCAATCTGTAGGTATTATGAGATTCGGGAATGAAACACTAAGCAGCATAACTAATCGTCACACTATAAGTACATGAAAAGCCGACGACAATAAAAATACACCTAACAAATGTGTTACGTAAAAATATAAGACAAATTACCTGAATCTATTTGTATTGTACAATCATTATCAAGCAATTAATACAAACGATAGTAAATTTATTTCTACAGGCAATTTTTTTAGTTGAAAATAAAAATAAATACACATAAAATAAACGAATTGTTTTGAAAAGAAAACCAACTCGAAGTAGACCTTGAAAAAGGAACAATTAAAAGATGTTGAATCCATATGTATGTGATATTGGAATGAAAATAAAGAAATACACAAAAAAACAGGAAAAGACAACGTCACTAATAATTAATGAAACGATAATTCAAGTATAATAAAAAAATTTTAAACCGACATAATCGGTTAATATCAATACTGACGTCTGTTAACCATTTTAAATAAAATAAAAAAATGTGTCAATAAGAAAAATTTATTAATAATGCTTTATTCTCGGAGGTATGTAGAGAAAACAAATTCGGGGGATTAAATTTTTGAGAGATATATTCCCGATCAAAAATATAAAACTGAAACAGAGAGTTATGGGTTACTGGAGTAGAATGATTACAAATAACAAAGTATGTAATGGAAAGAACTGAATCTTATCTACAGTTTAAATATAGTTCCCTAAAAGAAAGGGAATGTAATATACCTTGAATTTTTCAAATGACATCGTATACACACATAAATAACGTGAAAAATTAATATTTTTGGATAGTTTACATGAGACCTATTTTCAGAAAACAAAAATGAAGTTGTTTCACATTAATTAATGTTGGTAGCCAAAAACGGCATACTTTATGTTCATTAAAATACTTAGTTTATTGTATTATCTATTCACGTTTAACTTACAAATCATTGACAGCGATGCATAAAATAAGGCCATTATATGTTTATGTCCCATCGTTACTAAACACAGAAAATACCAAAGATCAACATTATAATACTGTCTTTTTCGGATACGTACTATGCGTCTGTAGGATAGAGATTTCTCCAAGGTATTCACATAACGGTTTGCTTATGTGAAATAATTAACTAACAGGCGTTTCACTGAATTTTACATCCTGAAAGTTAGTTTCTGATAGTAGCCTTAGTGAGAAATCTGAATCAAATAGCAAGTCGAATTTTTAAAAAAGAGATTCGAGCTACAATCATTTTGTGAAAACTAAAATTTGATCTCCTTTTGAATCCTCAATTTTAGAGTATTATTACTTTTGAAATTTTAAAAGGCTTTAATTCTCACTAAGTAATTCGACTCAAAACTGACTACTATTTTGTGGTATTGAACCTGTGGAGAACATCGGTAGGTCACTGTGATTTACAAGCGGTAGTTCAGTGGATACGGTACTTGACTTTGAGACACGAAGTGACAGGTTCAAACTCTTGTCCAACTATTTAATTTTGGCAATTAGATAGTGTTACTAGACCTCACATTTACAATTCAGCTAAAAGCCAAAATACAAGTCTGTACTAGACATATTAGTTAACAGTAATCAGTGATCTCTGTAAACGTGTTACTGAATAACCAGAATCAGAATACCACAATAAGAATGTAGATGCATTAGAGTGAAACAAAAAAGCTGTAACAAATTTAACAGTAAGGCAGGTTCCATGAAAAAATGTTTCAAAATAAAAAGGTTTGGTAGACTAAGAATGATCACATTATACTAGTTTTCATACTCTTCATATTTTGCTGAATATAATGTAACTCTAGTGCCTAGTGCATAGTTCAGCTACAAGTTATAGCTTTTGTATGAATCATAATGATGGAACGTGATGACCAGAAACGAAGTTTGTAAGGTGAAATGGGTGAACATCCAATCTAGTAATTAGGAGGAACGTAATCCTCTCCTCTCATACATCCTTCTAAATTACCAAACAACTTAAAAGTACATGCTTGTACAGCTGATGAAAATGTATTGACCGGAAATTAGAAGGAATATGAAATATCGAAACATTTCTTGAAAGAGAAAAATCAAGGAGTTATCACGAGCAAAATACGGCACTTTATTTACATTTTGATATTCTATAACATAGTCGATGACGAGTGTTATTACTATGCGATTGAAAGAAAAATTACGTTTTTGACCGCTTATTGGTTTTTTGCAAGCAAAAATCCATGATTTGAAATATTGAGAGATGGTGAGAGAACAACAAAAACAAATGTGGAGTATATGAGTGTTTGAACAATAATGAAACATAAATAAATATAAGATCATAAATTTTATTTCGCTTTGTCTATTCATTCAATACTGAACAATGAAAAGGAAGTGAAATGGGAGGCAGAAAGTATAAAAATTGACCTTATATTAGATGAATTATAAGGTTGCTTTAATAATCTCAGTCCACCATCTTTTACAAGTTGAACTTATTATTGAGTCTCTCAACTCACCACAAACATAAACACTAATAACAGCTGTCAACCTACACTGAAGATTAGTGTTATAAAATAACACTACTAGAAAATACACTGCCCAAAATACCTTCAATGGCAAGGATTTAGAATCTATCATTCCACATTCCATATGACTATAGTTTTATACAAGCATTTTTAGCGTGTTTGTTTACCATGAACTGCATATAAAAAAACACTCCATGCACTAAGCCTGTATTTTATTCTTTACACGAATAAAAACTTCGCGATAAAGTTTGGGTCAAGATAATTTATGAACCATACCTTCTCAAATAGCACACTCTCAGGTTTTGACTGCTAACTTCACTTTGTACCAATCTAACTATCCCAATAAATTGCTGTGTGTTCTGTAATCATTTGAAAAATATAAAAGATAAAAATGGTTTTTAGTGGATACTGGATAGTAAGTTTTGATTCCACCTCCCTTTGATCCGATTCCGTTGACTGTGTAGATTGTTTTAAAGAAAGGGTCTTTATTTGACTAAATGTTCCTGTTATGAACTGATAATTGTTTTGCATTCTCTTTATTTAAAAATTACTTTCACACACATAGTTCACAATACATATATACTTACCGAGTTCTATTTGTAGATCGTATTTAACGGGAACGGACAGACAACACTGTAATCCGTTTAACATTTACATGAACTCAAATTAAGTTAAAACTGAACATCTATATTTCTTTTAATATTTCAGGTGCACATCAATGCTTATGATGAATAGTGCAACTATAAATATGAATCAAACTTTCACAAGTAATTGGATTGATGAAATCAATCATAAAGCCAACTTATCGAATTCACCAACTCATTCAAAATCCGATCAATTGCCAACATCTAGAGCACATATTTTTCCGACATCTTTACAATTAAATCAACCAAAATATCAAACATCACAATCTCCATTATTATTTGATTTCTCTTCAGATCTAGGCAAAACTGAGCATTCATCGCATCGCATACCAAGTTGGCGTAATTTTCTAATTTGTATTTACACTCTATTAACAATATGCGGAGCAACATTCAATTTAATTTTGATATTTGCCTTGTTAAAATTTAGAAAACAAACATTATCGCACAATATTACAAATTTGTTTGTATTATGCTTAGCTGTATCCGATATATTTTTGTGTTCAGTGAGTATGCCAATACAATTATATTATGAAATGACAGAGAATCATAAACCAAGTACAGATTTATGCCGAGTATTATTTAGCAGTTTCGGTATACCAATGTATATATCATGCCTAACTATTTTATTAATTGCATTTGATAGATATCGTCTTATTGTTTATCCATTAAAAACACAATTAACACCGAAAGCAGCATTTGGTCTAATTATTATTGTCATATTATTTAGTGCATTGAATTCAATACCAGTTGCATTACAAGTAAATAGTGAAGGTTTAAATGAATATCATTATTGTGTAGAATCATGGCCAAGTCCACAATTACGATTTGCTTATTCTGTATCCATTTTTGTCATATTAGTGCTATTACCCTTAAGTGCATCAGGTGGATTTTATTTAGCTATCTATCGACGATTAAAACAACGACCTTGTCAATTAAATGCTAGTAAAGAAGCAGAAAAACGTAAAAAGCGTACAACTAGTTTATTAGTAATAACAGTTGTTTGTTTCGCAGTCTGTTGGACACCATGGTGTTTATATTCATTATTATTAGAAGTACAAGCTTTATTAAATGTTGAAAATGATTTACCATCAGCAAGTACATATGATTTATTAAAATTTAATCGATTATTCAATTCAAGTCAACAAGCAATTCACAAAGAGGATGAAACATGGAAATACTCTATTGGTTTGAAAACATGTGAAGACTTTCTATGGTATACAATGAATCAATCACTACCTATTATGAATGGAAATTTTACAATGGATTCATCGATTGACTTAATGAAACCAAATATGAATATTATACCGGGGAGACACATAAAAATTATTGATCTTTTATTAAAATTATTTGCAATGGGATCCGCCTGTGTCAATCCATTGTTGTATGGATGGTTAAATGAACCGATACGTGTAATAATGCGTAGACAATACAGTAGATTTGAAGGATGCTTTAAATGCTTTGAAATTAGCCGACGTCATACAGACAATAAAAAACATATGAAAAATTATATAGAGGAACAAAACTTACAAAAAAGACCATTAACTAATACGTCTTGCTTTGATAAACACAAGTCAACATTATTATTATCATCATCATCATCCAAATTTTTGAGACCTTCACATTTCATTAGATCCAATTCAGATTATGATACGAAACCAAAAGTGAAAACTGACAGACCGAAAATTGGTAGTAAGCAACTAAATGATGCTCAATCAGTGAGTTATGCTGAAGGAGATACTGATCTCAATAACAAAGACAATTTAAACCAAATAGTCGTAATAAAATAATAATAAACTTGACTCTGATACTGGGATTTTAACAAACAATAATAATAATAATACTGTCGACAGTAATCGAGGCTAGTTTGATTTACTGCCACTAAAAAGACTTAAATTTAGAGGAAAACCACAAGTTAATAGATTATAACTGAACGTATTCGATTGTTAGAGTAAAACACCAAATTATTCAAATTTAATTCCTTAATTTTTTTCCAGACATAAAAGAGAACGTTCCACACTTCATATACAAAGAAACAGAGAATCTGTTAACTTTTATGTATCCAAGGATGACGAATAAGTAGATGGTAAGTGAATATAAACATGTGGATTTAAACACGTTCTTTTCTCTTATTTAAAAAAGACTGATGATAAGAATAACTCCATTTATGAGATGCTTCAGTCAGTGCAACTCATTCAAGATTAGGAAAACACCTGGTAAATATAACAAGAACGATCACGGTCGAATTCATGTACTACTGTAATAACTTCAAATTATCTTGTTCGTTTGCATAAAATCCATTACCAAAGGGAAAAGAAGGAAACAGTCTGATTCGTAGAAAACCCAGGAGTGAAATACTTCAAAAATTCCATACAAAACTAAGAGTAATATAATTTGTGGACTCGTTGATCACTCTATAAATGTATGCCAACATTAGTGGCTGAGAAATATACAACGTATGCTTAGCCCCACCTACATTAAAATCAAAGTAGACTGGAAAACAGACTATTACCAGATCAAGTCATATCGCTGGTGTGTAAGTTAGCTGACGGTTTGCTTGGTTTCTGTATGAAAGTTCACACATTCTGGATATAATTTTGAAGTCCATCGTAACTTGTAGTCTACGGTCGCAAAATAACATGTCTAAAAAGTTATCTTAGTAAAATGAATAATATATCCTATATCTAAATAACAAACATGGGATATCTATAAACTAATAAGAAAAGCTTAAGCTTATTGAAAAGTCCAATAAAAAACCACAATCAAAACTTCACGAAAACGAAGCACCGAAATTTATAACCCACATATTGATACAATTCAACATTCATGTAATCAAGATAAAAGCAGTAAAACGTCAGAAGAGTAATAGAATCTTAGATACTGCTGAATACGATCTCTTTAAGAGCCTTAATTTTTATATCACTACTACTCATGCATAAAATCAAGAGACAATACATAAATAATAAGCTTGAAAACACAGCGTATGTGTTGTTCACACGCATTTGAAAGCCATTTCGTCCTAGTGGTCTAGAGGTCGAACGGTCGTGCGAGACTAAAGGATCTAGGTTCAAGTCCCGCGTGTGGAGTTGTGAACGCACATTGTTGAGTAGTCCCATTACCAGAACGAAGCGGCCGTCCAGTGCTTCTGGATTTTTAATGATGGTCTAAAACTTATCAACTAATGATTTTAATATATATATATATATATATATATATATATATATATATATATATATATATATATATATATATAAAGCCAATAATAATGAAAATAACACTATCTATTTGTGATTTAATTGTAGCATTTTGTGTAAGGCTTATTAAATGCTGATACATATTTGAGGATGACAGCTCAATGAACCAATCTACTGAATCCATCCTCTTGTTGTCTAGAGTAAGAAGTAATACACTGAACAGGATCAAATTAAAAAAATATGGGCTAAGGAGAATAGAATATGTTAAACGTTTTTTATACCACCGCGTTGCAGCTTATCTTTAGACATAACATTTAAGGAAATAAGATCACTGAATCAATTTGTCGCTACTTTTTAACCACGAAAGTTCCCCATCTATACACAACTCAATAGTCATAGACTTCATCAACTAGTAGTGTCGGACTTCAGTTCAGTCACTCCCTGTACAACGCTAGAGAAAATCCAGTAATACACTACTGACAGATAATGTACAAAATTTCAAAATGTGTTTTAAGGTCAAAATTATGCTGTAGGTGATGAGAAAACTTGATATTCTTTTTAAAACCTTACTCTCTGTACTATTTCCAATTATCACTATTCATTTATTTATTTGACAGTTCTTCATTCTTAAATAAAAAAGGTCTACAAACAAATGCATAGCCAGATTATTAAGAGTGAATTGGGTCAATACGTAAATCATAATTTTTAAATCAAGTTTTTATATATATATATATATATATATATATATATATATATATATATCGGTAAGTTGATATTAACATACTATAAAACTGTTAAGAAAGATTCCCTATATAAATTTGAGAACAAAAAAGGAGTAACAATTAGGGCAGAAAAACAATATGGATTTTATTGTAATGTGTGAACTCTCATCAACTTCTTAAATCCTTCTTGGAATTGGTAAAATCCATCCAATGGAGTGAAATATGCCAGTAATACCTAATTAAATTTGATGACCGAAAATGCTTATGACTAAAAAAGTCATTATTATTAATAGTTATAATATTAGTAATGATAATTTATTTATTATGTACTGGGGTATGAGCCCCACGCTCTGTGAGGGCTAATATTACTATTTAGATACCTAAAATGAAGTGGGTGTAGAGGTGTTTTGACCTGGGCTGAAAGTCGCACAACCTAACCATTAACTAACCACTTTACAAAAGTTTTTTAACGGGGTTGTTCATGCATAGTTTCCCCAAGTAAAGTTTGCAGAGAATGTTAAACGAAACCAAGATAACTTTCTTGCGGCGGAATACTGAATACATAGATTATGTGAAGATTAAAAATTCACTCAACTTTGAAGAAGTTGCCGATAATAATTCACTCGATGGGAACAAGAGTACTTAGAATTTGATGACGTAAGGATTAAATAGGCAGATGAACTAACAAAAGCTCCTTAATCATCTTAATGAAAACAGTAGTCAGTTAGTCAGCTAAAGCATAGGACAAGGCATATATATGTATACGTCCATACCTCATTAGCACGACAAGATGAACACTAAATTCATAGAAGTAGTTGCTTCAATGGTAGTAATATATAAAAAAGATTGTATATAAGAATATACAGGAAAAAAACATTTACACCGAAAGTTCACAGCTCACCAGTGAATTTTCGGTGTAAAAATTTAAACAAAATGTAGTTGGGTTGCATTTTTTAACGTGTGGACTTTTTAAAATAATGCTAAAACGTTGACAAGACGTTTAGTGTCAGTTGAATGTTGAGATCCTCCGTTTTTTAATCTCTTATTTTAGAACTTGTTCAGAGATTCGCACATGCACTCCCCTTTCTGTTCTTTTAATGTATTTTCACTCTGATACGCAGTCATGTATTAGCGATATAATATCCTGAGAGGAAATTCCAGTTCTGTTGAGAGTTCAGACACGTCACGTGCAAGGCAGTCACCCACAAAAAACAATTGGAAATGATTGCGCAATGTCGTGAAATGATTGAGGTTGGACATTAACACCGTTGGATGCCACTTAGTGTTCTGAAGGTTAGGTGTTCGCGTGAGAAGCGGAATGTTTTGGATTCAAGTCCTGTGTGCGGGGTTGTGGTTGAGTACTGATGACGTGGACCATGCTGGGACGAAACGGTCGTCCAGTACTTCTAAGTTTTCAATTATAATATTCTATCGATCAGTTCATTATTTCGATGAAACCCAACAATCTCTACAACTATAGACCTACAACGGCTTTTAATTGTTTAATGAAGTAGTTAGTGAATACATAGTGAAATCAATAGTTGATGGACAAGTAATTTTTAGTAACTTAGTTGTTTCATTGAACTTATTATCTCTAAACATGGTGTGTAACAACTCTATCACCGCTAAACACCTACTGTTCCACACTATACTACACATTTTACAAGTACTTCCTCAAAGTAATTTTTTATTTGAATAGAAATAAAAATACATTAAAATTAATCATTAAAGTGGTCGATAAATGGGTTATTTTTGTTGGGATTTTGAAGATCCTAGATGAATTCAAATTGATAGCAACACTTTAGTTATCTCTAAGATCCCCATTATTATGGGAATCGGTTATATAATTATTCCACACGTTTTAAATTATCATTTGATTGGTTATATTGCTTTAATAATACCATTTCAATAAGTAACCCCATCGAATCAAGCACATTTTATGCAGTGCATAAAGTTTTAAAGGAAAAAAACAAGACATCTTACTTATATGTTGTTAGATGACGAGCATAACCAGCTAATTGTTCATCTATACCAGAACCGAGGAACAGAAACTAAAAAACAAGCAAAGGAAAACACTTCAGAATTATTTCGATGAATGATTAAAGTGATCATCATAAGGACCTAAAATCAATCGAAGTGTAAAGAAAATTATTAAACAACGAGATTCTCACAAAACCACGTCCACACAGTGGGTTCGTGAGCCTCGGAAAGTGGATTTTTGATTCAAATAAGCCTGTGAGTTTTACCGACTGAGGCTTCACCAATCTCAAGTGGATGGAACATAGCAACAAACCTGCAACATATAAATTGACGTGGTGAAACTAATTCAATTAAGTGGAGATAGTGTAGTGAACAGAAAACGGGTGGGGACAACCGAATGTATTTGACACAAAATTAGGGAGCATCTCAATAAAATCTGAGAACTATATATTAAATCGTTAATTTGCGAAATGTCCACCAATTGTCTCAAAATGCCTCAGACTTCATTGTTCATACATTTTCATACAAATTGCATTCTATTCCCGCTCTTGCTTTCTTAATCTTCCCTCATCTTCTGCTGCCAGACATCACATTCCTGACTCGCATAATATACTACTTATATCAATATAAGTAGCACGCACTACAGTGGTTCTTAAAAAGTTTATGATAATGCTTCAATTGAAGTCTCAGATTTCATGTGTCAAGTTAAAAAGACAATATTACGAATTTCAATTGTTCTCACAAAATACATTTAAAAAATAACACCTGTAAAATAATTGAACAGTTTATGGAAGAAAAACATCTATTATTTAATGGAATCAATTTTTAATACTTCAATTTATTTCCTGACGTCTCAGAGACAAGTACAACAACACTAAGATGAACTCAGAATGGTCACATTCAAACAAGACATGCTTCAAACGGCTAAGTCGATATATGTGACAGAATTAAACACAGCGTGTGCACTAAATTCTATTCAGACTAGCCAACACAAAGCTAATTAACTGTAACTCTGTTCATCATGTTACCAAAAGATCACAAATTAATTTATGATTGAAATAATTTAAATTAAATCGATTTTGACTCAAAGAAAAAGTGGTGTAGCCATAAAAACTTTATAATTTTTAATAGAAAAGTAAACTTGAAATTCAGACTTTACAAAAACGGAAAACTATTGGGATATAAACGAAACTGAGTCGAAAAATTCATTGTTACAATACTATGACATAATTTAAGGATATATGTTTTTAAGAAAATTAAATATTAAACTTTAATTTCATATAATTTATGTTATATAATGAATAGGCTTTTCTATGATATAGATGTTCATACACAGTAGTGTAATATACGGATGATGTAGATCAGATCTACAGTTAAGAGAAAAGTAACTCTGGGAATATAGGGACATTGATTAATAAAATGTTAAAATTTATTATAGTTACGATAGAAATGAATCCAAGTCATTTGTAATTAAGATTATTTGATTGACGTTTCTTAATTATGAACCAGTCGGAAATTTCTGGTACAGGATAAAATGTTACTGAACAAAAATGAAAACTACTATACAACAGATTCTTTGAACTAGTAAGATGAATGACAAAGATATAAAATAATATTGTGATATGGTAAACAGATAAATGTGGTTTTACCACGGTAAGATGATTACTGTAAACAATGTTAGACTAAAAAATTCTACTTACTTCTTCGTTCTCAGATAATCTGACAATGATAACAGTTGATTGGTAACAATAGTTATAAATTTAACTGAAGAACTCCCTCGCAAACCTGCCTACTTTGTATCGAGTGCGGCATCACTAACTCATTAGGTGTACAATTGAAACAATTTCATTTTTTGTGACAACTGAATTTCACGCAACGACATTGACATTATTTTAAACATTTTGACCATAGTACAATATAATTGCAGGAAAATAGGTGAGAACCTTTATTTTAGTTTACACACAATTTGCTCTTATATGATATGCCAAGTAAAAAAGACAAGATATAAACCAAAAATATGATGCAAAAGAAACCTAAATAATCACTCTTAACACCGCTTTTATCGACTCCATATTAAAGACAGTAAATATTGCACAATACTACTTTGTCATAGATATAGGTCAACTTGTAACGAATATACTGTAGTTATCATTACTAAGAAAGATTTAGGAAACAACTAACAAAAGATTGTAAAAATATTCATTGAAATCATAACCACAGTTAAAATCAGATAGTGATGAAGAAAATAAGAAAATTGAAAAATCTGTACAAACCTTAGCATCTTTTTGACTAAATATTTTAGATAAGCTAAAATTTGCTGCCCAATTCCTAAGCCTCCAACTAACCCATCTTTACAAGACATATATGTATGACAATTGTTTACAAGTGTAAAAGTAGTACATGTAAATGAGATAAAAAATACTATTGAGCGAATGATAACTGTTCCGATTTTTAATTAACCATTAAAACATTTATTTACGGTAAAGCTGTGAATTTTTGTGAGTCAACAGGACATAGGAACTTTCTTAAGATAATAATAACAAACAAATAAATAAAAGCAATAAAACAGTGGTTTTGCGATATAAAGTTATAAATAACCAAGCAAACCACAGAAGAGTGGGAATAGGTTTCGTTCTAGTTTGCGTTTACGAAGCAATAGAGATAAATGATTTCAAAAACAGTAGATCACTTGGACAGGAAGCTCAACTACATATGAGGTTTCAGTGCTGGGTTCCAGAGCAGAAATTACTATTATCCTTTTAAAAGTCAATGTTCAGTATACAAAGGCTAAACCTAACACATTGTAAATCGGCTGTCTCAGTTACAACTGTATGTAAACAGATTGATTGAGTTTAGCTATGAAGGTGAGAAAGACGTAAACGATTATTCCAGAAAACAACTCAAACGAAACCAAAATGACTAATTAGCCACCCAAACTTTAGGTTCATTTGATTTAAAAAGAAGTTTTAATCGACTCAATAAAATTATCCTTAAATATCAATATAGTTAGTCAAATTATTTAGATAGAAAGAAACTGTAGAACTGAAACATTATTAACGTTTTTATCTTCGAAAAAATAAACACACCTTTGCTGACGAAGTGCATTTCTCTTCGAATTCACCTGAACTGTGTAAAACACCTTTTCCACGGGCTGCAAACCAAAGAGCTAAACCTAGACTATCATCTAAAACAGTTGTATGTCCTGGAAGCAGTAATGGCCATACATGTTTAACTCTAAATTAAATGGGAGAAAGAATGTATTAAAGAAAATTAAATCATCCGTTAAAATAATATGAAAATATTAGTAGAACAGCTGTTCAGTAAGTATTGTTTCTGAAATTCAAGCAATAGACCCTAAATATTTGAATGATGCTTCACTTACTCTGTGTTATAAAAAAAACTGCACTTCTTCACATTCGATATAATGATAATACTGTCAGATAGATCAAGATGTTAAAAAAATAATATATGTAAAGAAAAATATAGCACTTGAACAACACAATAGTAGAAGGAAATGAAATACAACAACGAAAAATTCAGATGTTAACACTTTTATATTTAAAAATTATTTTAAGTTCCATGCCTTTTCGCTTAAAATAAAATAGATGCTGAAAATAAAATTGGATAGTTTTCACTATAAAAAGTAGATACACCACGAAGGAATTGAAAAGAGAATTAGAAGAAAACAAATACGATAACAACGTTTCAAGGTAAAAAATGTGTATACAGTTGAGAAATAAACATGAAAGTTTATATGAGTTTGTAACAGAATAACATTAGCACAACGTCGACTAATCAATTCATGTCATCTGAGGTTATGTATAAAGGCCAGTTTGTTTAAATATACTATTCCCTTACTAACTTATCTCTGTATGTATAGTGAAAGATATCATAAGATGAACAAGAAGAGTAGTAAAAATTGGTGTAAAACTGAAAATAAGGTGTAACACTGGTTTAATGTAAGGAAATATCATACTATAGTGAGTAGTAAACGAAATTTATGGAATTAAAAGGAATATAACTATTCACCTTCAAAAATATGAACTCCAACAGCTCTTCTGACTAAAAGATAAAATGAGTTTGAATCAACCAACTAGTGTGTGAGTAAGATGCCAATAGAACTGAATCACTTTTCCCACCTCCTTGACTGAAGTTTATAATTTGATCGTCCACACAGGAATAGAACAGGTTTGTTGAGTACTCTGAAAGTTATGCAGAGGATCCTGAGCAGTATCTCTCAAATCACATGTAGGATTTCTATTCTATATTCATTGAAAATACTCAACCATTATAGTGAAATGAAGCAAACTTCGAAAGTTAAAACTTCTGGTGAACAGGCTAGGAGATTCACCTAAACTAACTACAAATGTTAAGAAAATTCAATCTATCCAGCTTTACAACCCAAAATGGAAATCAAGTTAATGACACTATGAAACTAATTCATATTTTACTATGCAGCTTAAATACTATATTTTATAATAAAATTGTTTTTCACTTAAAACATACACTTTTGGAAATTGAAAATAGTACGTTAAATGTGGTCATGTTTCTTCACATAAAATACATAAATGTTCAATTTATTCAAAGCCATTGTAATGGTTAATTAAGCAAAATATACTACTTAATTTCATCAACTAAATTTACTACTAAGACATGACTATATCTCTCAATTTTAAAACAAAGACGTTATTGAAGAATTGAGTAGAACCGCATTCAATACTTAATATTATGTATTTGAATAATTTAAGATAGAAATTATACATTTTGATCGAAACCAAAAAATAAGGTTTCCTGAAATAGCTAATTTATCAATTAATAAATAAATTTCACTGAAACTGTCAATTATCTAAATTATTTTCAAAAGAAAAGCAAATTTAGAAATGAAAAACATAAACATCCCAGCAATAAATTAATTGAATGCAATTACTGATGGTTAAGAAAATTCAGTAAAACCAAATGAACACAATAATGTAGAAAGAAATATAATAAATTATAATTAACTAAGTCAGAATAAGAGAGAATATCAAATTAAAAATAAATAATTTGCCAAAATTAACAATAGAATAAACATACATACAAATAATAGCAAACTTATCTAGATTGTTCGGATTCACTTGCATAGTGAATGACTAAAGGCATGATCAATTCATCTATTCTAGTTTTCTTTTTTATGTAAAATGATAAATTTACTAATTAAGTTTGGCGAGAAAAAGAAGTAAACAAGTCTCTATTCTAATATATATATATATATATATATATATATATATATATATATATATATATATATATATATATATATATATATATATATATATATACGTAAAGTTGAATATTATTTTCAACCATCGAGTTGAACACAAAGAAATTAAAAGGGATGGTCGCATTCAATTTGTTTATTTCCTGTTTTTCTTTATTGTTTTCACTCGAATAATTGATATTTGAATGACAGATTTCTTATGCGAAAATAAAACTGATACGATTTGAAGTAAATACCATTGAAGAAATACATGGGAAAAGTTCATCTAGTCCCCTTCGTGTGTTCGATTGCATAGCACTGAATGAATCAATATTATTTATTATAATGAACTAAAATTATTTTCGAATATCTTCCTACATTTCTGAATAATTGTATCAATCGTTATTTTTTCTTTTTTGAAACAGATAAGATTGACAACTAGCAGATATGTGGATGAAAGATGAAACAGGGAAGTTAACTGAGAATCATATATATTTTTCGCTGTATAAATATAAGTTTTTCACAGGATACTAGTGTTGTTAATGAAAGCCATACATTCAGCTTAAAAGAATTCTCACATAGATTGAAGTTGATTTACATCATGCATTGATATAAACTGAGGAACCACTGAATTTTTCTGAAATATCCACCCACGACATAGTCAGGGACCGATAAAAGGACCTTCATGCATTCAAAAGATGGAAATCCCGCTAAATAGGAATATGAACTATTGAATTTTAACTAAGTTATTTACCAATTAAGCGCTTCCCTTTGTCCTGAAAATTATAGATCCGATCTACCGCGAAGTATTGGATGTCTAATTGAAAGCCGTTGTCCGGTGCTCCCTGGTTCTTAATGGTTCCTCAGCTAACGTTGATCCGTGAGGAAAATCACATATACACAAATGTTGACTCTCAATAAACTTCACAGTTGACTTATCTCTTATCTTCATTATTCGCAAATAGATGATGCAGCTCTATGCAAAACTATTTTTATCATTTGTTTACAGAAATATCCGTAAAATATTCATAAGACTACATATTTGGATGGTAAAGAAACAGATCACCAACTTTAACAACAAATATATTAAGAATTAAAACAAGAAAGCTTTATGTACAGACAAATAAAGTGTCGCAACATAGACAATTTTTAACTCAAAATAAAATAAACATGGGACAGTTTGTTTACCAACTCAAAATTATAAATTATTATTGAATAAGATCAGTACGTTTTTAAAAAGTTCTTTGGTAAACGATTTATGATTCTCAGTTAAAATAAAATCCAGTATATTTTGTCATTGTAGTAAAAATCTTATTACAGCTATTTAATCGAAATATACTATGCAGTAATCTTAAGATTCCAATCAACTGATATTCTAACGAAACTAATCTCATATAACATGATTACGGATTATTCCTCAAAACGGACTTAATCTTTCAACATCATACATTACATGTAACGTTAAAAATTGTATAAAACCTACCTAGTCAAATTTAAACCATTAATGGTTAGTAGTAAATAATTGAATGTTTTTTTAATTACTTTGATATTATCTACAAAATCTGTTAGGTTAACACGTCAATGCAAAACGACAAGTGAATAAGGTCAAAAATGATATATAAGCATAAATAACACATATACTCTGTATTTCCGATGTGATTTACAATGAACAATTAAACAAGAGAAAAAAATAATTATTTCAGCTAGAAAGAAAACTTCCAAGACAGTATGAAATCAGTTAGAGAAGGATAAAAAATCGAATAGCGATGGGAGTATTTGTTCATTTCCAGTTTGAGAATACACAGTAATGTACATTTACAACTACTGAAAGAGATCGGAAACACCTGTGTTGAAAGTAAATAGTTTATATTTCTACAAGTCTGCCTCATGTTAATTGGATCATCAGTTGATATATATAAATGAAAACAGTCTTTAAAATCACCAGTGTCGTCAAATAATTATGTAGAAATCTCATTTTAATTTTTTTTAGCGACTGAAATAAAAAGAACACAACTATACAACTTTCCACTTAAGTAAATAAAACAAGGATTAGTATACAAAAAGTTCTAAATCCTATTGTTAATATAGGAAATTTAGTGATACTATTCAGATTCTACGACTGAATTAAGCGGAGAAAAGTTCGAAGTTGAGGCCCATTGACCTAGGTTTGATTCCTTCAATAAAAGAAACGACTGGTCTATTTAGTTTTTTACAAGAATCTGTAGATATTAGGCATCAGATAACAGTCATTAAAAGAAACGAATTAACGGAACCTTTATGTGTTCATTTGCTTAGATCAACAAACAATAACAATCATGAAAATTAAACGTATCAACAATAAGACAAAATTATGAAATTCATAAAGAATATGAACTATTTTAATTTCAGTAATGAGACAATTCAGATTTTATGATAAGAAAACAAGGAGTGAGAAGTTGATTGAGTCAGTCAGTCAGCTACAACGTAGGACCAGGCACATATATTCATCGGTACAAGTTGCCATACCTCATTAGCACAACAAGATGAATACCGAATTCATAAAGTAGTTACTTCAATGGTAGTAATATATAAAAGAAAGATTGCATATAAGGATATAGTACAGGGAGAAAGGATTAGTTGGTAGAAAGAAAAATATAAAGCAATTTTAACCTCATAGTGTAAGGGAAGACAGGGAGTGCATACACCTACGCCATTGTGACCGATTCTGAGCCATGTCACCCAGAGTCTCCAATCATTGGTTACGATAGTCACGCGGATCCCAACCAAGTAGTCTGCATCTACCAACATGGCTCAGACTACAAGTTAGTGACTTCAAGCACTGATGTCACGTTTTGGTTTGACCGTCCCTAACTTTCTTTCAACCATCCCCAACACTAGTCAGCATTACGCGTGGTGGTAATCGGTGTTCAGGCATACGTAACACGTGGTCCAACCATCTCAGTCTATGAAGATTTACAACCTCATCAACTGATTTACCATCATTCCCTAATACCCTGCATGTAACCTCACTATTACTTACCCGGTGATCCCAGCAGACGCCAGCAATATTTCTAAGGCATCTGTGGTCAAATACTAATAGCTTACAAGTGTCTTCTACTCTTAAAGGCCGTGTTTCGCTGCCGTAAAGTGAAACAGAACAGACTGCCGCGCAGTATACTCGTCCTTTTATTGATAGACGGATATCTCACCTTCGCCACAGGTGACGTAAGTTGGCAAAAGCCAAACGAGCTTTTCGAATCCGTGCTGAGATTTCGTCAGACACCAACCCATTAGGGCTGATCAGACTTCCAAGATAAGTGAAGTTGTCAACGCGTTCGACTACTTCACTCCCTATCCTTAGTTCAGGTGTTGACGCAGACCAATCCTGAAGCAACAACTTACATTTAGAGGGAGAGAAGCGCATCCCAAACATTCTGGCATTGTTGCTCAGTGCTACCAAAACACTCTGCATTTTATCAGCGTCTTCACAAACAGGACTATGTCATTTGCGTATTCTAGGTCGATAAGTGGACCTCCTGGAAGGAGATCAATACCCGAGAATTCAGTAGACGAGAATTTTATTTCCATCAGTAGGTCTATGATGAAATTAAATAAAATGGAGAAAGTGTACAGCCTTGACGGACACCAGTTGAGGTTGCAAAAGCTGATGACAGTTCTCCATATGCTCTGACTCGACTATTGGTGTTCGAGTAAAGAGCGTTTACAAGGTTTATGTAAATTAAATGCAAACAGTTTGAAACAGATGAGAATTTTCTTAAGCAAATACTGCTGAAGAAAAAAACCATATTGATAATATAATGCAACGAAAAAACAAATAATAAATGAGGCATAATTAAGTTAGATAATTATATTTTACCACAAGAAATAAATGCGTATTACTGATCCTTTTCCTAACGCTTGATTGACTGAGTAATACTCAAATAGTATTAGACTATGTATTATCAGAATGAAATGAAATATAGGAGTGGATATTCAATGAATTAAACTTGCTTAACATCTAATATTCAGCCAGACAATTTATACATCTATCTGCTCAAACTTCTGGGACGTATTTAGAAAAATGAATTTATAACCATAAATTTTCCCGTTTTACACTTATTTCAATTAACTAATTAGATCTGTCAGCTGCTTGTGCCTACGCATTTCCATGAAATGTTCACTTTATCGCGAATTTAACGACTGAGAAGTATCATCATAGCTTTTTGAATATTTTTATTCTCTTCCATCCTTCATAGAAAAGAATAGCAATCACTACATAACTCATAAATTAAATATATTAGTTGTTACAAGACTGATTGTAAACATTTATGGATATATATATATTGAATATCCGTTTACTGCGTAAAAAAGAGGAATTTTTTACACATTTTGATGTTAGAATTTTTTACTCATATCAAATATATCGTAATAAATAAAGAAAATATTAGTATTACTATTATCACCAGTGGAGACAATCGAATGTATTTGACTCAAAATTACAGGGCTTGTTAATAAAATCTATCATAAAGTAAATGCTTAATTTGCAAAATGTCCATCAATTGTCTCAAAATCACTCAGACTTCATTGTTCTTGCACTTTCATAAAAATTGCATTCTGTTTGCATTCTTAACTGTTTGATCCTCTTGTCTCTGCTGCCAGACCTGTTCACGACTAACATCATATACTACTTATGTCAATATAAGTATCACACACCACAATATTAGTATTATTTAGTAAAGACAGATGAAACCAATTCAAGTAATAATTATTCTTACTATACATTATGAAAAACTGAGATCTCTGAGTATCATATAGAAAGTAGAGATGATAATGTTAAGTCAGATAACTTAGGTAGTTTTATATCAACTGTCTTACGCTAGAATACAAGTAATAAGAACTTTAAAAATGACAGCCCAAAGATTACATTATTGTCAGTCGTTTCGCAAAATTAGATGAGAAACATGGTTCAACACTCCACGTTACGCAAGATTTACACCATAATTATATACTATAGACAGTATCATTCAATAAAAACGACCATTCAAAGCATCCGAAATTTTTATTAAATTCCAGATTTCCCCTGTTTCCGATCTGATTATGATAGCATTGTATCAGTTAAACAAAAGAGCAAATGAATTCTCAGTATCGAATAGAGTCGACGAACAATGAATATTTAACAATATAAATGAATAAATTTATGATTTAAAATAAAAATTAGTTAATATTTAAGATTTCACTCAAAGATAGTAGTAACGCAAATAATAATAACAGTGTAGGAACTATTCAGTAAAACTTTTGCAAATAAAATTACAATAGTGATGATCTATAAAATCAGATTTGATACCCAACAAAACAATGAAACAAAATGCAATATGATAAAATGTGACAGAAATACACTGTAAACAATAATAATAATAGTGATAAAAATAATACTGTATCTGTAAACAAATTCAATTCTCATCTGGGTAATATACTGATTATATTACAAGAGTATGAAGAATAAGTTATGCACACTATCCACACCTAGATTACAGCTTTAAAGTTAGGGAGAAAAAGGGAAAACAATAATAGAATCAGACTATAATGAAAGGGTTATGTTTATCAAATAACTGCCAGTCAAAGGAACTATTAACAGGTTTACAATAAAAGTTAAATATAAGTAACAATATATATAAAAGCTCAATGTAGCATATATATATCATACAATATTAAGAAATTGTTTAGCAGAAACGTCAGATAAATGTAAGCTTTTTTGAAAAAATATTTATTTAAGACTTAAGTATCAGAGTCGATAAAGTTAAGGTAAATTTACGGATTAAAGACACACTAAAGGGAGAATTTAAAAAAGAAGTAGAAATCAATATGCACAACTCGATATAGCTTTTGTCTCTGTGACCGTTTTACTGTAGAAGAAACACCAAATAAATGGCTAGAATATAGCTATCGTTCACCTAACAATGAAATCATTAACCAAGAATAAATGTATTGGGTTTTCATCTATTTCTTTTCAGGTGAGGGTTAGTAATAATACCCGGCCACATAAACTGAAGTTCGGAATTCCCAAAATTGATTTGTGCAAAAATAGGATTAAACGAAAAACAAGCCTACTATATGCGAAAATTATCAAAGGCAGAAAATAATCAGATTTCCAACATATATCCAGCACAAAATGTGCTGATCACAACACTGACGCGTTTTACGGGCAAATATAGAAAATAGTTTGATTAATGTGAGAAACGAGGGTATTCGTTGTATGCCTCATATTATTGGTCTTGAGATTTAACGTGTATTTTATAACAAAGCAATACATAATCGAGGAAATCTGAAAACCTTGATGATTCGACCAACTCGAAAATCTCCAGAACGATACAAAACAGCTGTTTGGTGTTTGCTAACCTGAACTTGTTATACTCCTGACGGAATACCTGACAGTTTATCAAACCGTAAATAAATAGCACAGCGATCAGCTGCTATTATTTGGTAGTGAGGAGCAAATGTTAATCATAGATGTTCGATCGCAGGTATATTTTGAAGTACTTTTATTCTGTGATGAGACCATCAAGTGAGCAATAGATACATAAATGACTAAATAAATGAGCCATATATTAATAGGAACATGAATATAAACTACAAATCAGCAGTTTCATCATTTTCTCGTCATGTACCAAATTAAAACGTACTACGAGCTTTATTAGCTCAACAACAAAAAGAAACTTAAAATGATAATAACGATAATAATAACAGTAAAAATGTATGGACAATAAGATTATGTAGCAGAAAGGAAACAATTTTAAAAAAGGCTACATCAAATATCACTAGTGACACTAATGGTTACAATCGTAAAAATAATGTTGATGAACTAACCTGGCCTCTGAAATTTCACTGACATTTACATTAATCTAAAAATAGAAAAACAAAATAACAATGAGATAACCTAAAATAAATATTAAAAATAACTGGTCAGATTAAATTACCTACTATCTATACAATCGAAACGTTTCATCAGTAATAAATAATACAATTGAGTAACCGTATACAGGTTAGTGTGCTTAGCTGCGAGGCGCACTATTTTTATAAGATCTAATGATACTATCCCCTAAATCTAATTCAGGTAGATGAATAAGGTTCTAAACATAAGACCTAAGTAATTTACTAACCATTACCAATTAACTGGGATTCAACTATGGCTTCAGAACTTAAGTGCTATTAACAAAACTGATTACAGTGTACTTCAAGTAAAAACAGATACCGCAAAAAATATGTAGTGGAATTTAGATTATGTACATTGTAGAGAATGATCAAGTGAAAATGCCAGCTCAAAATAATCTTCAGCCATTCAGAACATGAGTATAAGATACTAACACAAATCCTCCGATTATTCTTGAAAAAACGAAAACTAAACGAGGATAAGTATTGTTACGGGAGAATAACTAACAATAAAAAACAACTGTTGAATGATGTAACGTCAACTTGTCTCAACGATGTCATTATCAACACTGACATTCCCATAAACAGTATCATAAAAACACAGTGATAATAAAAGATGAAAGTTATACACCGAAAAACAAAAAACTCTTACAATACTATCTAATAATTAGCTGAAAGACGGAAAATCTGCCACAGTAAACTGTTTCACCTTCAACGGTTGAAATAATACAAAGAGAAAAAAAGAATTTTAATAAGTAACTCATGTAGCTACTAATCAAATAACAATCTACAAATATTTGTAGCATGTCGGTAGTTTATTCAAGAACGAAAGATATTCAGCACATTATTCGTCTAACAATATATTAGCGTAGACAGACTGTACAAACATTAGTTCATTAGTAGTCTACTTTTAAATGATACTTTGTAACAAACTGACTATGAAAAAGAAAATAAAATATAACATTTTTCTAAGTAGATTAAACCAAATTCATTCACATCATGAATAAAACTTATAAACCAGTATGAAATGCACGAAGACAAATAGAGTATGATATAGTGAAGAAAGTGAAAAGAAAAATAACTGCAGAGACATATACAGAAAATGAGATTAAATTATACAATATGAAATCTTGGAAAGTAAAAACAAACCATTAATGTATTATGATTATTATTTGTTATCACAAAAATAAATAAACTCTGAAAATTGGACATCCTCTACCATGTATTATTCAGATCAAAAATTATATCTTTTTAAGTAGATTATAAAATATGAAAAAGAGTAGATCTAGTAAAGAATATCTCTCCCAAACTATGATAATGATGATGATAACACTTTATTCACTAGAAAACTGTATCATTTTGAAATTATCTTTGAAATATATACAATATTTGAAAATAAACACAATCCATTAAACAATATCTAGGTTTTTTATCTCTAGTAAACAAACATGTATTCCATTAATTAGTTAAGTGAATTTTAGATATTAGTTCAATGTGAATAATGTATTTAGAATTAATTTATCCCAGTTGAGCAATTATTGAATATCAAGGAACACTGAACATTTGTTTGAAATCATTTTGAGAAGTAATGTAAATGCGAATCCACGACCGGTTAAGGATCGGTTTATTAGTAAGAGAAAAATTCAACATTTTCAAGTGCAGCTACTTTTTATCTAGTCACTAAACGAGAGTCTAAAGATGTTCGTAAGAATCATGTTGGGTTTTCAATTAATTAAATGTTACTAAATAGGGAACAACAAAAATTTTAATAAATGAATGGAACTATGGTTCATGAATACATTACAATTCTATTTAAACTGGACAGATAAATGTAAGGTCAAATTCTACCACAGACTAAATGTGAAAGAAAATAAAACTCATAAGAACTTCATTGAATTATATCTCTGGAACACATTCAATAAGAGAAAACTAATTATACTCCTTGACTGACAAAAATCGGTTAACTACAGTGGATTGAAAAAAACCATAAATTCGGCAATGAATTCTTAAAAAACACATAAACGTAAAAGGATGATAAAGCAACTTTTCTAATAACGTACAATATACATTTGGACAAAGAAATGAAAAAAAATCAGTTTTGATTCTAAAAGAATTATCAATAGCAAAACAAAAATTATTTTAAGATATCTTTCGACATACACTTGTCTAGGGAATGTAAAATCATAATGATAACAGGTAAAAAAAGAAAGTAAGAATGCAATATGCACTTTCATATACGATTTACTAACTCAGATTAAAAATAGCTCAAGTTCAAGAAAAGAATAAACTGTGAACTGAGTTTATTGGCAATGAAACTTTCAATCAGACTATAAACAAAATAATATATTTGTAATATCCCAATTAGTAGAAAAATTCGATTTCGTGACTCAGTGTGAACCACTTCTTCAGAGAATAAATAACCAAATCAAAACTAATCCGAGTTTAAATAGTACAAACGAACAAAGCAAGAATATTGGGTGTGATCAATCAAAAAACAGGTCTGAACAACTCAATGTTGTGTCATTTCGGTCAAGGTGATATATAAGTGACAGTATGTAAATTTGTGCGTATGCGTGCAAGGTCAGAGATGAAAAAATGTGACCTTTGTGGTGCGAAAGGATAGAGTCTAATTTGCATGTACGATAATAGTGTCACATATGAATAATATCAGACATGGTAGCTTGGATAGATAGTTCAAGTCGGATTTATAATGAGGCCTTCTTTTCTATTGAGAGCAGCACATCCATTCAGTGCAAAGATCTTGCTTTTCCTAAATCTTTTTAGAAGAGCTAACATGATTATCCAATCGGAATAGGACAAACAAAAAGAACAAAAGCATGTAATTATCACCTTACAATTTAATAATTTTCCTATGAAGATTATTAGAAGTGTATTAAAACGAGACGTTTCACCGGTAAATAATAACTTGAATGAAATAACATGGATAGGTATTACAGCTTTAATTGACTCATGATTTCAATCAGCGAAATTTCTAAAATCTCCACAAAAACCCTTCTGATATAATTTTAAGCCAAGAGTTTTGTATAATAAGAGAAAATATTCATAATTTCCAATATATAAGTGGTAAATTACCAGTTAATTAGAATAGATAAATTAATTTAATAAAACAAACGATAAATAAATAAACAACTACACAAGTCGAACATATAAGAAAAGAACATCAACGAAAGCCATTAACAGAATAATAGCAACAATGACAACAATCATAGGGACAAAAACACGATTGAATGACGAAAACGTAATTAAATACACTAAATATCCTTCTGTGATATCAAAAGGCAATAATAACACTATGAACATTGTGTTTTTCTCTTAGTTGTTTGTATACTTCTTCATTTGTTACGTAGATAAGTATAAACAACAATCATTAAAAAGAAAACAAAGTAGAAAAAACAGCGAAAAATATTTATGCTGAACATAAGAATAAATTACAAACTAAGCAAAGATCATTTATAGAGTCTAATAAACTGGCAAGAGATCATAAGTAGTCAGTAGCTTGTAAGTTGTTATAATATGAAAGTGTGATATTAACTGACAATTATTGTACAACCCTTGAACGTCCAAAAATTAACAAACATTCAACACATCCTTCAAACTCAAACAGAAATTAAAAATAATGAATAATGTTTTTATATAAATGTGATTAACCAACAATCTAGTTTCACAAATCATACAACAAAAGTAAATTATTCTGGAAATCGAAATCCACAGAAGTTGTTAACAGACTAATCACTGAATAGATTTAAATGAATTAAGAAAAATTTTAATCACATAAAAAGAAACCTTAAGTTTTTCAATTTCAAAATGTAATGCAGTGATGTACATTATGAAGAAATTCTGAGTCCAATTCCTAGGAATAACGTTAGGGATTTATTCAAACAAAGGAAGAAAAAAATGGATGAGTTAGAACCAACTAATTCTAAGAGATAATACACAAGAAAAATGTGTGCTCATGTGAGCAGAGATAGACTACGACAGATTAAACGAACTAAGAGGTAAATGATCTGTAGAATTTTGCAGACTGTTTCTACATGTTGCTTAGTACAGTCTTAACAGCTCAACATTAACACTGATTTTATTTGATAGACAATTTCGGTAAAGTAGCGAATGATAGGAAATATCATGAAAAGAATGAGTTATTTATCATCCAATCGCTCAATAATTTAATTTGAAATGAATTAAGTAACAATAGATGATTTGTATTATTGAATGCCTCTAAGTAAACTGTTATACGTCCATCGAACCGAATCTTATTGATGACTAGCATGCTAACACTTCGTCATTTTATCGTGATCACTGATATACAATACGACAAATTTCATAAAAACAAATTGCACTGAGTGCGAATTTCTCCTCAAATCGGCTAGTCAAAGAATAACTGGTTTCAAACACTTTACCGATTCGCTTTACATAGCTAACTGAAAGAGCAAAAGGATGAACATACTATTGGAGCAATTTCATTTCTTTATGAATGCGTATGGATATAAATGATAACATGTTCATGCAGTTATACTCAATGTAGGACCTGAGATATGAACACATTGGTGTAAATTATCAAACTTCATTAGCACAGCGAGATGAAATTGTCAGACGAAAATCCTACAGTAGTAAAGATACTAGTAGTATTAATAACAAAGGAAAAAATGGGCGTCAAAGATACTCTTTTTAATAGAAAATACAGATTAATGGGATAAAAAATACAAAGTGATTCAAGAAACTAGTGTTTAAATAAAAACAGAGTGAATGCACCTGCTCCATTTAGGATAATTTTGAGTCATATCACTCGGTCTTTAACCATTTATTATGATAATCACAAAAACCCCAAACAAGTAGTCTTCATTTACCTATATCTCTCAGTTCAACAATTAATGTCTAAATGGAATGATGTTGTCTTGGTTTGACCTCCCCATGTGCACATTCGAATAACTCCCATTCAGAGTAATAGCCTAAT